TATATATATAACTACTATCTATATATATATATATATATATTATTATATATATATATATATATATATATATATATATATATATATATATATATATATATTGTTTATATATATATATATATATATATATATATATATATATATCGTACTGTAATTTTTGTGAGGAATTTATAGGTGCCGCAGGAAATATACTATGATAATTTACTACACTTTGTTTGTGTATGTGTTTACGTGTTACGGTTTGTGTATTTGTATACCAATACACCTATTAGCAGATAGTATAGTTGTTGTTTTACATTGGAGAAGAGCGTGATTGCGGCCCGTTTTTGTGAAGTGATCTGTTGAAGGCGCGTTTATTCGTTTATAGCTTATATGCACTTGTGTAAGTATACACCACACAACTTGAATACGTCGGATACTTATTTAATACGAGTTAGTTCACTTTGTAGTGCTAATTGCTTCCTCACCAGTATTCTATGCCTAAATCAGTATATTTCTCTTCCAGATTTTTATAAGTATACTGAATTAGTGTTTTATATCGTATACCCCCTCGAACCGAAGGTCTCCCCAAATGCTTTTTCCTTAGCATTAGCTGGCAAGTAGCTCCATGTCTACGAACAGCCTGTTCTGTATTCTCCCATGAAACCCGCAGTGAACATTTAGAACCATCACGCAACTAGTCACTTCATACTTTGCATCCTAGCTTCAACTTACCTGAGTACTCACGATTTGACTGTGAATAGTGGTGTATCCAATTGCTATAAACAGCTGCTATGATCGGCCATAACCATCACGCAACCGTCGATATTGCTTTAGTGCCTGTGGTGACGATTTGATCGTGAGTAGTGGTACGCTGAGGTGTGGGGAACAGCTAGAACTATATAACTGTATGCATCCTAACTTCACATATATCTGTATACTTAACCTATGCCCTTGTCCTATACAGCGGATCGACACGCCGAACATCCAGAGAGTATGTCCAGTATACCAGAAAGAGGTGGTTCTGGGCCAGCAAGTGGAATGCAGGAAAGGCGAAACAGACCACCCGTTCTCATTCGTTGTCCCTCCCGGTAAGGCGGAGTGATCTGAGTACGCGATTTGCATGGTGTACATGTGCATGTAGGTGTATGAGAGAGAGTGCGTGCGTGCGTATGTACCTTTTTTGCAGTATATCTTGGTATATATACGAATCGATGGGAAGGACAAGGTGTGTGTGTGTGACATAGTTCTCATATACGTGGTACAGACGAGTGAAAATAGCGTTCTCATTTGAAGGATACCGTGCTTATGTATCTCGTGTTTCTGAGACATGTACGTATGTTTATCAAAAAAATAAAATTGCGAGGCTCGATTTGACTGGAGAATGTGTGAAGGCACCTCAAAACCACAATGCTCTACAGTTGCTACGTGAAGATTTATAACACCTCGAATGCAGAGCAATGAGTTACTTTGTCACCTAAAATCTGGACCAATATAACGACAGATGTATGTACGCAGGAGTTGAACAAATGTTGTTTCTCTTTGGTTGATGTCAAGTATATATATATATGTACTGTTTGCATTCTACCATGCTGTATTACTTCGAATCTGGGTTAGCTACATCTATACTACAATCGTCACACATGTGCAAGTGTGTACTCTATTACGCAGCTCCAAACTACATTCCAAATCATTAATCAGTACACATCAACGGGCTTCGTCTTGAAATACAATTACTTTCCATCACAATGTATGAGACATTGTACTCAGGTCATGACAAACATGTGTGCACCATGCATGCAATGCTGAATTCTACTTCGTATTTTCTACGAATCGTTGATGAATAAACTTATTTGGACTATTACAGGGATGCCCTCATCATTTAGGAATGGGTCATGTGCTGTGACGTGGGAAGTTCGTAGCACAGACCGTAGCTGCGCTATGCAGCCTGTGGTCACCCGCTGCCTGTTCAACAAGGTATATACACACGAACGGATACGCACACACACACACAGTATGTATGTATGTATGTATATATATATATATATCAATAAATATAAATATACAAGCATAAATATATAAATATTGCACAAACATACAGATGTATGTTATAAATATATAAATATATATATATATATACAAAATGTATGTATGTATATATGTGTGTTTATATATATATATATGTATTTAGTATATATATGTATGTATGTATGTATGTAGAAAATACACACTATGCGTGAGTATTGTTGTATGTAGGTGTGTGTACTACTACTCAATATACATAAATAAGCAACCACAGACACGCACGCACACGCACTCTATCTACTTTTAAACGTTTTGGTGGGCACTCTGTGTGACAATTGTTGCTTCTATATTATCGCTAGTTCAAATGTACAATCAGAGAATATATACACCTACACATTTCACTCAACCATTCTTGCACCCAATTTCGGTAGCTTTTCACTCATACGCGCCTCTATGTTTTAAATTTTATCCAGACCCTAGTATATGCAGTGAAACAACTACCTCTACATTAATATGTGCTAGTAGCTCATTTGTATTCAATCAGATGTCAATATATCGGGCATGTTCAAATATGTTTTAGGGTCTAAATTCATTTGTGTTTATCAAAATTGACATTTCGAGCGTATACATTTATACCTTTATTTCGAGCATATACATTTTTATGTTTTACGGTCTAAATTCATTCGTATATATCCATGAGCCAACATATCAAGCATGCAAATTCATGTTGTAGGGCTCGAATTCGTTTGTATTTATCCAGAAATGAACAAATCGACCACATACATTTTTTGGGCTTAAATTCATTTGAAGTTATCCAGAAGCCAATATATCGTGTATTTATCGCTCGATACTCAAACACGCCTTCAATTCGTTTCTATCTACACCAACTTCGATATACAGGTTACCCCAATGCTCATACACTCCTTAACTCCGATTATATCTATATAGACTTCAATGTACAGGTCATCTCGATACCCATACACGCCTTCAATTCGTTTGTATCTATGCAGACATCGATATACAGGACCCTTCCGGGATTCATCCCCACGGCACAAGCCGAGCGGAAGATGTTTATGAACCCGTCGAAACGCATTAAAGTAGAAGCGGAGCTATCCGCTGATGTGTACACAGCGGGGGTAAGGAGTGTAGCTAAATTATGGCAATATTCATGTGAATGTACACACTGAAGGTCTATTTTGTACAGATCCTGGAACATATTCATACACCTGTCTTCCATATAAATGTGCATACACACACGTGACCGATGTGCGCTACTGTGTGTGTTGGCATTGGTGTATATACACCATAAACCCATTTCATTACTGTTTTGCCTGATTCATGCGCACAGCTCATTGCTTGTGCTTAGCAATCTGGGCCTCTTGCAGACGTATTTACATCTCATTTCTGTGGGAACTGATGGCTAGGTGCATGTTGTCCTGATTTCAGTTGCCCATTGTTTGTCCTAATTTCAGTTGCCCATTGTTTGTCTTGATTTCAGTTGCCCATTGTTTGTCCTAATTTCAGTTGCCCATTGTTTGTCTTGATTTCAGTTGCCCATTGTTTGTCCTGATTTCAGCTGCCCATTGTTTGTACTGGGCATCTCATTTCTGTGAAATTTGACGCGTACCCACATGACCTGATTTCAGTTGTCTGTTAACTCATTCTTTGAGCTCGACAATCTGGTCCCTGTATATCTTATCCGTATTGCGAGTGCTAAATATTTGGCTTCATCTACAGATGCACAGTTCATCACTACTAGAGTTCTTCTCTGATCGCTACTATTCATGTCGTGCTCGTGTGCGAGCGACTGTTCACTATGGAATACTTCGTCTAGTGACCAGGCGGCGTGTTCTCTACTATTCGTGTCGTTCTCGTGTGCGAGCGACTGCTCACTATGGTATACTTCGTCTAGTGACCAGGCGGCCTGTCGAATCGTAGCTTGTATAGTTCTTTCGCATTAGCATGCGTACAGTCAGTCTGAGCTCATATCGGAGCGCATATCACAGCACTGCATAATCGCAAATGATTGTATTTTCAGATTGGGAACAAGCTTTTGTCCTTCGTCATGAATGCTGTATATATGCATGTCTGCAACCCCCCACGGCCCCCCATCGATGTGTGGGGTGTCACTCGAGTGCGTCTCCAGTACATGCTCACAATCACACACAGACCCCGATCGAAGTCTGTGTCCAGATACCGAACGACCACACGTTGTTGCATCTCATACCGTCACGCTATTCCATATCGGAGTGCATAGTTAAGTGAAGAAATACGCACAAGCCATTGCCATTCATTCGGTTGGCATTTGCAACTTAATTTTGAACGTGCTATTGCCCTTTATATTAAATATGCTCGCAACCACACGCAGACCCCGATCGAAGTTTGTGTCAAGATACTGAACGACTACAAGCTGCTATATCTCAAGCGCGTGAAGGCTAAAGTGGTCCAGTCGTGTGAAGCCTGGATGGAGGGGCGCAGGCTGTTTGCGCGAGAGGTGGACTTGGACTGGAGCAAACACGAGGTTAAGAATTGGGAGAAGTTACGGGTATGTCTGATTGTGTGGCGTGTCTATTGTATGTGTAGGAGTATTATTGTGTTTTTATGTATTGATATTTGGGATTGAACATACAAGTATTGCGCCATCTCAAACAGTGAAGGCCTAAGGTGTACGGAGGTGTGCCATCTGGGTAGGTTCAGCGTAGGTTGTCTGCGCGAGAGGTGGATATAGAAAGGTGCGCAACCGGTGTATGGCGAAGTATCATGCTATTATGATATGTACAAGCGTGCGTATTGAATATAATTGAGTGTATATTCTAATCCTGGGTAGGGGAGCGGAAGCTTTTCGTATGTGACTTCGATACGGACCTGGTTCTGAACTGATACAAACAAGGGGCCAAGAACTCAGAACAGTCAGTGGTATGTACGAGGGTGTTACTGTCCTCTTGTAAATTGATATTGTAGCGAGTATATTGTTATTCATGTGTACAGATGTAGCTGAGTTGTATAGATGTATGTGAGTTGGATTGTACAGGTAGTTAACTTTTCCCGAGACGTACATACAACACGCATGTCACTCTGTCGAGCACTTTATAGGTACAGTTTATGTATCCGCTTACATCTCAGTCCATAACTTGTTTGTATTCCATGTGTAAATATTTATATCAAAATATACGTATGTCACTGTCGTGCACTTTATAGGTACAGTTTATATATCCACTTACACCTCAGCCCTTAACTTGTTTGTATTCCATGAGTAAATATGTATATCAAAATATACGCATGTCACTCTGTCGTGCACTCTATACGTACAGTTTATCCCAGTCTTTAGCTTGTTTGTAATCCATGTGTAAATATGTTTATCAAAATATACGCACATACCCATGTATGGTTTGATGGTACAACCTATTCAGGCACTAAGGTTCATCATTCAACGTATGTGTACACCTTCTGCGCTCAAGGGTGGGCGGTTTCAAGCCAAGGTTGTGAGTATTTCTTACTCGATACTGAGCCTCATTGTCAAGCATATGTGTACACTTCCTGCGCTCAAAGGTGGGTGAATTCAAGCCGCTCGAGTCCGAAGCAGACCAACAGGTGGCCGATGAGAAGTCGGCGGTGAGCAAGACGTTTGCGCTGCTACCAAGGATAGACAAGCGACACAAATGTGCCGTACAAAAGGTATGTTTGTACGTATAGTAGTAGATTGCAAGTACTTGCAAAGTAGGACATTCGTAGTGAATTGCATGTGTATAGGGCGTGAATGCGTTCTACAGACAGTCGGTTCTTAGAACGGCCAGTGTGTTGTGCAAAGGGTATGTATGTATTCTTAGTGAGCTAGTCGTCACTCACCTGCATATGTCATTTGCTGTAAAGCGATTGTGATGAACTACACAGATAACGGGTGAAGAGTATATGGAGTGTACTGTGTGCTGCCAATTTAGCAAATGTGCCGCGCAAAGGGTATGTGTGTGTGTCTGTAGTAATCCGGTGGTCTCCCGTTGTCGCACAGTTGGTTGCACTTCATCTGTAACGGGTGGGAGTGTGTGTTGTGTACTGTCTGCTGTGCATGCGGCTTATGGGCCGTACGAAAGGTGTGCGTTCATGCGAAATAGTTCGTTTCGTCAATTACACAGTGTGACGTCTATATACAGTGTTGTCAAATGCAACTAGATTAAATCTGTTTGGGGCGTGAGTACTGGCCCTCTCACTTTGCTGCACACTAAGCTATCATTATAGACAATAAGGAAAACTTCTTGACTGTAGGTAGTGTATATCAGACCAGGATCATAAGCCACTGGTATCATAATTTATGTTCTTTTAGATCAGAATCCTACATCGTCGGTATGCTAAATCAGAAGTCATTAACATCAGCTTCAAATAGCGGCGTATGACGTGTAACCATACCTACTGCCTGCCACAAAGCAAGGTATTGTAGTCAATCCAATCAATTGGGGGTGTTTATGGTTCGGGTTTGGGGTGATTTGAGTGGTATATAAATCCTATCAGGTGAGAGTGTCACTCCTCTATTGTTCCCTCTCATTCGCCAAAGGAAAAGGTTGATGGACGGCACATGTCGCAACCATGCCTACCGTCCACCACAAAGCACGCCACGAGCTGATGTACCTTGCTACAGCTACCAATGCAACTGCTCCCGTCTCCTGACCTTAGTCGGTGTACGATGCTTTAGTTATGAATCTCACATCTCCAACACTCATTCTTAATCAGATGTCAATAGGAAGGGACTCTGAAGGACAGCCCATGTCGCAACCATGCCTACCGCCCACGACGGATTACGCCAGCAGAGATACGGGTCTGTGGGTCTTCATCAAGTACTATGTGAGCATCAAGTGCGACGTGCAGGGTGCGGATAGCATCGAGTTCAAGCTAAATGTCACACTACAGGTAGGCAACATATTTGTGGCAGTATGTGCATCCTTATGAACTTATTCATAACTACTGTTATATATAAGTTGTTTCTATGAGATTTTTCCCAACCTTGTGGATTCTACAAAGCCGATGTCATGACCAACAAGAATCGCTTCTCCGTCGATGTAGGGATTTGCCCTTAAAATTTCATTCGTAGCACATCTTGATACGTTTTTAAGTCTCGCTCCTATTACTACCCACATTTCCTCTTTTTCTTTTCTTTTCGGAGTCAAATAAACGTTACAGATCAGGCTCGCTCTTATCTCCGTGCATGATTCCATTATCCAGAGCCAAATACAGGACACAGATAACTTCTCTGCCGATATAGAGAACTGTCTCGTCTTCTCTCCAATGGACGATCCCCCCGAGTACGACGCTTTGCAAACGAAATCCAAAACTTCATACACGTCTTTAAGGCGAAATTCTATGGACAGGTATGTAGATGGACATTATATTATTTTTATTTTGAAAATCGGGCCAACAGAAATCATCTTATACTTTTTACAGACCGCTGCAGCGAAATGGCAATAAACGGATATGTATCGTTTATAGTATAAGCGTCACAAGGTTTCACATCTGATGACATAATTGCATATAAATATCGATTTGTCGGGCTTATACATAGATACAGTGCTTATATATCTTAGCTTGTCGCAGGCTCCTGGTCCGACAAATTGGCATACATACTCATCATCGCTTGTACACATCCTTGCCCTGGACAGCGTGTTCGCGCGGACACAGTCAGCTCTGGAGTCGCCGTTCCAACCATATACCAACATTCTTAGCGACGGCACATTGGGCGTACCTACCGCCAGCCAAGCACTGTCCTTGGACCGCACCCAGACTCTGCCTCAGGAACACACCGAGAACAACTTCCGCCCATCAACTGGGAGTGCCTTCGATATAAACGCACACTTGGCCTTGGCAGCACACTGTGAGTCCTCTACCAATACGAGAGTGCCGAGAAGGGCGTCCGTTGGAGGGGAGACCCGCAGTACGAGTCTCCGAGCAAGTAAGACCCCTTTTTAAGCCTACTTATGGGTTGAGACCGAAGCAAATTATACCCGTTTGTAGGTCCTGTTGGGATTTACGGTGTGTTTGTAGTGACACACTCGGCGAGGGTTGGCAACAGGGGTAACCTAGCAACCATATACATACGCAAGGGCGTCAGTGCTAGTACTGTTCACATGCGACAGACACAGGGCAAGATAAAGCTGCAGCCATACGCCTGGACGCGATCTGGTGTCGTGATAAATTAGTAATTAAATTAGTATAACTCTAAATAGTAAAGCCAACGGTGTTGTGTTGCTATGCTGTTATTATGATGTGTTTCTATGCTGTTATTATACCGAGGTTAAAGCAGGGGCGCTGTCGGATAGTGCACCCTTTATTGAAGGGTTCACTCCGTCAGCAGTAAATACAATCCAGTCCCGACTCCCCAGTGGTCGGGGCCCCCTCATTCCGTTGCAGTTTGCCGATGTGCTCACGCGTTCTGATTCTGCCTCGCGTATAGGTAAATTTTTTTTCATGCAACATTCAGTGTTTCGCGCATGCACCTATCAATCATAAGAAGGTCTCCTAGCGCGAACCATTGAAATAACCACCATTGCAAAATGATAGTTGATATAACGTGTTGTTTAAATATGTGCAGGCATATTTGCAAACATAAACAAGTACTCCAGCAGTGAACTAGTAGTGCCAGTCGACAAAGCGTGTTGTTTATGTTAAGACGTATTTGCAAGCAGAAGCACATTAGTAGTCACGAGTATTCCCATGAATGATGCGGCTTGGCAACACTAGCTTCACAAATAAATATCGCGTCTGAAATTTGAAGCATATGAATTATAGGGGGTTTTCATATGTACCATAGTCGCAACTTCACCCGTCATAGCATCAGAATGGACATGCCTCGATCACTTTCAAAAAGAAGTGCTTTGGTTCTGTTGCTCTGGTAGACAAGTTCTTTGAGCTTGCATTGCACCTTGCTGCAGGTCAGTTGCAGATTGCTTGCGTCACCTGTCCTTTTATAATGATTCTGCCAGTTACATCGATGTTCAAATACACAACTCCTTTTAATTAGGCCGCCGTTTACCATATTAAATCTCGCTGATTAACCAACCGCAATAAATCGCATAATTTCGTTCCCTGCTAGATGCATCATATGCTTTATGTATGTCGTCTGCAGCAATCGGTTTTAATCCCTGATCACCGGTAGGTACCTCAAAATAATTGCAACTCTATATGACCTTTCACTGCTTTCAGCTTTTATTTGTATTCACTGCTTGTCGGCGTACTATATATGCGTATATGGAGAACCGCGGCCTTTTAATCTGACGCCTGTCGCTATACTTAAAACTTATACATGGAAAACTATGTTAAATTCGTGATCGTGCGTTCATCATTCTTGTATCGAACTTTAAAAAAATGGTATACTGATTGTTTTATTCAGTACCTTGTCACCGTAGGTTGTGAACTGAAATTAATCCCGAGGCGTGAGTAGATATTACTCACCCCTAGCAGCACCCACCTGGAAAGATTGAGTACGAATAATATTCTCTAACTCACTATCCACTTCTGGTAGGAACTGAAAATTCACAATTCTATTACTGATTGCGGATGCACCTATGACAAAGCTTTATGACACAGGAGTCTTCTATGTCCCACAATATGGGTCTGCCAGCTTCTGACTTAATACACGCAGGCCAACAACAAATGTGCACTGCAGCGCCACAATACACCCACCCACTACATCCCATGTCCAATAGACATCCGATCCTCCAGTGCTAAATGCCATGGCAGTGGCGAATAGGGGTAGGTAAAACGCGGACACCTCGCACACAAAGTGAATGTAGAAGAAACTGATAGGCTGGGATACGTAATCGAATAGGGCACCGACGGACCCGCGAAAATCGCAGAGCTTTCTCTGTCATTTCTGCCGCGAATTGCTCATCTGTCAGGTTCTCTTCCCGGGCGCTATTGATTCTCTTGATGATTCAGGCAACGACCTCTTTGAACGCATTTTCGCCTTCATCAATATTGATGATCGTCATGCGCTTCGATTCGCTCACAGTATGAGGTTTGTGCGTGGCTTTCAACGACATGAATAAATTGGCCATATTATAAACAGGAGTGAGCCCGGTGTAGCCTGTGATGTTTGCTCTGTTCGTATATCGCACTATGCAGAGTGCTCGGTCCTTCGGTGAAGCTGATATGGTCTTGCAGAGAGCACGATAGCTGGTACTGACTAAAAAAACAGGTGTGGTTCTGAGAAGCGAAGAAACCCAGGAAGAAGGAGAGGAAACCCCCAATCACACCTGAAAGGGAGGACGAGCAAGAGACGTAAGATTGTAACAATGTATATGCATATATATAAATGTATATATAAAGTATATAT